AGTATGCCACTGTAGATTTAACTGCCTATTTATAGCTCTTCACACGCACTAGCAGTAGTACTCAAGGCCGACCTGATATGTGATACCAGGCCAGATCAAGTTTCACATTTTTCAGACACAGTGAAAAACATCTGGGGCTTATACCCTAGCATAGAAAAGAGCACTGAAACACAGTTGGCTAAAAAAGGGTAACACATATTTTTTTTTCTGACATGACAATTGAAGCACATTTGGGAGGTTCAGGATTAATTGTTTAACCATCTACATGAATATATGTCATATGTAATTAGCATAAATTGGTACATACTTCATGAAAAGAGTTACAAAAAATTACAACTTATTTAACAATCCGGGAGGGTAGGGGTTGTGATGTGATAAAAATGGAATTATCGGTAGCAGATATCAATCATTTATAGAGTTACTTGATACTCAAAGCATCACAATATGAACGAGTGATATCAGGTTATCTCGTAAAATGATTGTTTTATGAGGAAAGTGTGAATCTTTAGTACTAGTAGATTTAAACTTAAGGTTGCCGAATTTAAATTGACCACACATGTACTTTTCAAAACTATGGCTACATGTTCTTACACAAGAACTTTTTCTATCATCCACATATGAGGATAGAGCAAACTACTAGTGTTTTTAAAAAATACAGTACCTGATAAAGTGTTTCATTATCTTTAGTTTCAAAAGTCACAAGGAAATTTTCCAACTAAACAGGCATGTTTTACTTTTTTCCCATTTATTAATTTTGTAATCTGCATAATTATCTCATTTATCTCACCAATTTGGTCAGTGACTCCAATTTTGTTTTACATATGACCTTGTACAGCAATAAAAAATCCAAAGACATGTCTGAAACTGATCATACTCATGATAGTTTTTATGGTATTTCATCATAACATTTTAGTCATCGAAATAGACGAGGAAAATAATAAATATAATAATGAATCCTAATATTGTTTAGAAAATCTTCATTTAATTTAGTTATTTATTTATCAATTATAGTTATTATTTAGATACAGTTATCCGCTGAGTAAAACAGTTTATCTGATACAGTTTGTGTTTCATAAACTACCCTGCAGAAACTGAGAAGGAAGCATCATAAGACAAGACTCTCCCTTTCCTAGACATCCTCTGTATGAAGCCAGCTTACTCCATGTTTTCGTTTTGGTGTTGTAAACATTCATACGATAGCCCAAGACATAAACCTTGTCATCATAGGCAGTCACATTCTCGATGTAATCACCGTTGTCAAGCTTCACGGTATGGTGTTTTTCTATTTGCCATTTGTTGTTAATTAAGTCGAAAATCATGTGGACTTCCTTGAAGTTAGTGACATAAATTTGTGAACTTTCAATACAGGGGTGCTTAAATGTGAAAAACACTTTGCTGGTAGGGGATGGTGTAAAATTAGGGAAGGTGATAATATCCCAGCTATCAGTGTCTGTGTTGTATCTGTCAATGGTACCAGATGACTCCAGACTCTCGGCTGACATGATATAGATATTACTGTTCCATGTGTGAGTTAAGAAGCCTTCACGAAAACTTGCAAGCCGCTTTGGAGGTGAGATGAACTGCCAAGATTGATGTCCAAGGGGATGGCACTGAAACTCTGTGGCAAGTCTACCAATGCTGAGTCTGCCTCCCATAGCATATAGTTTACCATTGCATACCAGCAACCGATGGTGGTATACCCCTTCTAGCATGTTTGGTAACTTATGCCATGCATTTATTAGTGGATTATAGCAGTATAGTGCTTTCACAATCTCGGTTGCGCTTCCAAAATGTCCACGATGTCTGTATTTTATTTCCAAACCACCAGCGATATAAAGTCGATTGTTGTGAAATGCAGCTCCTGCATACTGTACAGGCAGCGGAACTTTCAAATGTGATAACCATTTGTTCTGTTCAATTAAATAAGAACTCATCACAGACGACGTTAAATTACCAGTTACCCCGACAACAGTAATCATATTGATCAATCTACCCCTTCTGGGACTCCATGACACTAACGCATTCTGGGTACATTTGACAGCAGCGTCCAGACACAGTGTGTTTACTGCCACTAGGGGGTGTTGCAATATATTGTTTTGCTCATCACAACTCAGTGCACTGAACCGTACATGATGGAGAAGACTGGGGAGATGCATCTTCCTCTTTTCTTCATTCTCCATCACCCATCTTACCATAACCTCAAATACGGACATCTCTGACGTCACAACGGTTCCATTTTGTACAACTTCTACAACATTATCATCATCGGTCAATAAAGTCACAAGTTCTTCAACGCTAAGCAACAATACTTCATCTTCTGCAATAACATCCGTGAAGTGTCTTTGTATAAATTGTTTGGCATATTTCGAGACCCTTGGGACAGAATACAGTTCAGTAAGTTTGAAGTATCCCAAACAATTCTCACAGGTAATACTCCCACACAAAAATTGTGCACACGTTTCTTTGAGCTGACTGATATGGAGATAATCCGCGGCCATGAGCACGCCCTCAACATTGTCATACGATATAGTCACGGTTTCTTTGTAAAGGAAACCTAGCAACAACTCAATTTGTTCACTACTGAGAAATGGGAGGTCAACCCTCGTTCTCCCTTTCTCAGACATATCGTTACTAAACATTGCATCGAAATATGGGCTGTAAGCTGCAAGGAGACAGCGATGCGCGGGATAGTCCCTGTGTTCAACTGACAATGTGATGTCACAATAATTTCTATCAGTTCTCTGCCTGCATAGGCTGCTGTACACGCGGTTTCTGTGCAAACTTTGAAACTCGACATGGAGTCCTGTCGCTTGTAAGAGATCTGTTGCTTCACGAATGTCATCAACTTCGATTTGATCGTCACTGATCTCAAGGAGCCCGGTGTACATAAACTGTATAATTTTACCAAATACATACGGGGTGATTTTTGACTCACCTATCGCTGTATTTATGTCCAGGACAATATTGTTACAGTATGCCGCATCTCCTAATTCGACTATTTTTGCATTCAGCATCACTTCAAACACAGGACTGTTTGCAGCTAAAACACACCCATGAACGTGGAATTCGTGATCCGACAGCTTCAACGTAACATCGCAGAGCCTTCCTTCCTGTGACTGTTCGTATAGTTTACTTAAAATTCCACCAACGAAGGTGTCGTTCGCAATTTTCCCTGGCCCGTGTCTGTCGCGCGTTAGCTCTCTGGATGTCGCCATTTTGTATATAAACATTGTGTCAGTTTGTTTGGTAAGTCACTACTCGGTGCCTTATTTTTACGACCAATGTTCAATGTGCTTGTACGTGGACATTCCGGAACATTTATTTCGTGTTTGTTTATTATTTGTCGTAAAAAAAAAACTGTTTACATCTACGTCTGCAACAGTACATATGAGTCTTTGTTGCGTTTGTACAACAAGTCAAAGGTCAAACCGGTGGATGACTCATTCAGTCATTGACATTGCAAAGGTTCTATTAAAGTCATGTGAGAAATGCTTTATATATAAGCATTACGCATACTACTGTAAAATCATTTAATTTTACTATGTTGACGTTTTGATTAAAGGGCGGTGGTCGTCGAGCAGTCCACGTTCGAATTTCATGCAAACAAAAAATGTATTTTACAAGTATTGTATACGTCGCTATGAGTCCCATGTCGGTCAATTCGGCAAGGGGTATTTTCGTGAGCTGTAATCAATTGTTTGTTTTTTGTAATTTAAATAAATAAAATGTGATTTAAATAATTAAAAATGTGATTTAAATAAAAAAAAAACTTAAATTCGATGACATAGGCAAGGTGTAAATATAATCAGCTGCTTAGTATTTTATTCGTCTGTAATTTGTACAAAGATCTTTTGTAAGTATATAATTTAGTATTTTCCACATTAAATGTCGTAATTCGTACGCAATTTCTAATTTTGATTCTTAAACACAAATTATCAAATATATTATAAAAATGTAATTTGCTTTATCTGTAAAGTGTAAAAACCTATTTTTACTGTAAATGGAACTTTCATTTTATTTTCTGTAACCTGTACCACCTATCCCCTTTGTCCCCTAATTTAAGGGAATCAATGAGTTATAATGTTATTCTACATGTTCACGTGGGTTTAATTTACAGAAACTAAAAAAAAACTGAATTGAGTAATCGATGTGTTCACAGTAAACATCTCAAACACGAATATTAATAATAGCTGAGTTGTTTACCGTAACCATAGTGATAATGCAGTATAAATACAAACACACATAAATAATATAACCAAATAAATAAAGTTCTTAGTCACGTGTTTTGCAGCTGCAAAGTGATTTAAACAAAACAATGCGCGCAGACATTTTTGAACTGAATAACAAAAAATCTACAGATGAAATTAAAAAAAGCAAAACAAAGACATTTAAAAATCATCATATAGTAATATCACCATAAACAGAAATTTAGCTCAAAGCCAAACTAAGTGGAGGAAACAAAACAATTGATGTTGCTTATTTTTTTTATTATTGGTAACTAAGCGTTTTATTTTATATCTGCAAATGTAAAGAAAAAATTCCACATTTCAAACATCTTAAACCGTTTGTTTAAAATATTCAGAACACTGAATATGTTATTGCCAACAAAAAAGGGAAATTAAATTCACATATTAAGAAATGGGGTAAATTTCTTACTGTATTGACTATGTAAAGGTATTTCATATGAGATTTATGTGAAACTGAAATGTATTTTTTAAGAGATTTGAATGACTCAATAAAAAAATATCTTAAATATAAAAACAAACAAAAAACAATTGAAGTTTATTCTGAACTGTCTCCATCCGGAGTTTACAATTGTAAGTATTTCTCAAGTTATACATGACATCATTCACAGCAGTGGATATGATGTCATACTTTACCCATAATTCTTTGCTAGAGAATGAACATGAAGGCCTACGTAATATTGACGAGAAGTTGAAAATCTAGTGAATGGAAACAGATAT